AGTACTTTTCTCCACACAACCTCCTTACTCTGTTCAAGACCGAGATAAGACGTAGCCTCGAGTACTGCTCACGTGTTTGGCGTTCTGTCGCCCCGACTAAATTGTCCATAGGTACTCGATTCTGTTCAGAGGAGGTCTTTTCGACTGATCAATGACGCTTATCTAATGGACAGTTTTGGGACCCTTTTGTACCGACATGGGGTAGGCGATCTTACTTCATTCTATCGATATGTCAACAGGCTTTGCTCCTCAGAACTCTCCCCCATGATGCCGCGGCGCGTTGAGTCTACCAGACGGACCCGTCAGACTTTAGCCTTCCATAGCAACACTGTAGAACTCCGCACATCGAGAACTAGTCGGTACGACCGCTCCTTATCTCCTAGTGAATCCTGTGGAACAGTCTACCTGAGAAGGTTTCTCTCAGTTCTCGGATTAGCAAAGCGTCTTAAAGTTCCTTATTGAAGTCACGGGCCCTGGTTTGTAAGGTTTCTGCCTACGCGCAATAAAAGATTTATGTATACTATTAAAATAAATCATTTTGACTAAACCACAGATCATATACAGGTAGGTACCTTAGTTCTAAGTAAATAGGCGAGGACTGAGAATGGGTTCGTATATATTATGTAACAGAAATCTATTTTTGTCAACGCTTGAAAGCGCGATCTCTAAAGGCACACGACAAACCTATTTGACTGCAATTTGATTTTGGCTCCTCTGATCTTTCTTTCTAAATCTCAGAATTCATAGACAAGGCTGTCATTCACCTCTAGTAAGCTGCAGCAGGTGTCATGTAAACAACCTAAAGAACGTGGAAAAACCGACAAAATATCATCTTGCTGACTAGGTAGTTTGTAGAGTGGAATAGTTCACATCTATGGAGGAATGACTTAACGACACGACATGCATTGTTGGTTGGTTGTTGGTTAGAGAAAGCCGAGTAGTATGTAGTGTGGATCTCTGAGAAGATAGTGAGAAGAGTAATTGAAATCTCAATTGTCTATCTATGTAGAAACATCTACCAATTGACGAATGTACGTGAGAGGTATGAGAAAAGGCAGGAACTTTTGTAACAGTTTTCAAGGTGTAAGGAAAGCCTACCAAATTCCACGAAAGTATCAGGAGGTGCGGCAGTCGTTGGCGCGGCATGCACAGCTGTCAATATATTTTATGACTTGCCATCTTTCAATATTCAGAGAAAACATAGAATCGAATTAACCATTCATACACCTGTAGGTAGAGAACATACGATTTTCAAGACATTCTATCTGAATATAACACTTGTTAAGATGGCCAGAAAACTTCTGTGTATGTGCTATAGATTTTAACACCTCTATCCAAAGGAAAACAAGTACATTTTAACAAATTCAAAAATATGACTGCAGTGACCGGAAATAATAAGGTTTCAATTGTGCTGTCAAGACGATTCCAAAGACACATCAAATGTCCAAAACCCTCAAGCCATTTGTGTTGTAGTCCGTGAAATTGAAAGTACAAATTTGAAGCTTGCGTTTAAAACATTTTGGTTCTATAAAAATTCAATATACCTAGTGTCACCCGCACAGTCAAGACAAATCTAAAGTCACCTCGTATGGTAAGATCCATTTAGTCGTTTAAGCTGTAGCTCATAAAATACAAATTTCAAAGTTTGCATAGTGATTTTGCAAAACTATAGCATACCCAGTGTCACTCGCACTATAAAAACTAATCTAAAGATGCCCCATAAGTAAAAATTCATCAGGCTGTTTTACCATAGTACAGAAATTTTAAGGTCACTCGTGCGGCTAAGATGAATGGAACAACATCTCATATGTAAAATCCATCAAGCTGACTGGATTATAGGCTGTGAAATAAGCTTATTCTTGACCACATATATACACAGATGCGCCAAAAACCTAACCCTCCTTTTAGAGTAAAAAAGGACTGGATCTGTGACGCCAACACTTACACTTTTGAATAAGGCGTCATTATGAAGGAATAGTAGGTTCAGAATTGAATAATTTCTTATTGAGCATATCTTGAACAGGATGTATAGTCACTGAGTTAGTACCTAATATTTACGTCTACAAAAATTCAGACTCGTAGCAGTCAACGGGTAACGATAGCCTCAACTGCTACTTTCCTCTTATAATTAACTTCTGAATGATTCATTTGATTATCAAGGTGTGTTTAAGCTCCTTATAGCAGCCGTGGTGCCCAGGTAGTTAGGCTTCTGCTTCCGCGGCTGCTTCGATATAAAAAAATCGTAACAGTTACCTGTACATCGCAGTTTAGTTTTTCTCAACTTTGTACTAATTCAAGGAAGCTGTTATAACAATAAATAATGCATTGTTCGTTGAGTTTTTCGTTGTCTTACTACCTAGACTGGACATCGATTTCCTGAATTAGCAAAATGTTATCGAACTTTGTGCGGTTGATTAAGTGTTCATGAATGGTTCACAGTAAAGCTACTTCTAGCCTAAGTTACCGTAGAGTTTATTAGTGAAAAACACGTTTTGAGATGTAACCAATAGATTTGAATTTAAATACGTTACGTTCACGTTTATACCACAATGTTTAACATATTATGTGCATGTACCGTTCAGGCTTTTGTGGAATGCTTTTTGTACTTAAAACTTTCTCAATAATAACACTACGAGTAAGCGTGACCAGGAATTGAAGATTGTTGGTAATACTAATTAATGACAAAAAACTTTGACGCACTAGCTTACGAAATTGAAGGTTCATTGAAGCAATTTCAGATTTGATTTAGAAAAAAAATAAATAAGCTAAAACTCAATCAGGCTACATGCCTGTCTTAGAATTTCATTTACGATTTTAGCCTCTGAATTACATCCTTTTACAATGTGAAAGAAATTGAGCTTCCTTTTTAGGTAGTTATGTTGATTACTGCTCGGTTTCCACCGTCAGGGAAATGTCAGAGCCTTTTGGATGTTGACACGTTGGCTTTTGCCGACGTGACATTCCAGGTCTATATGACCGCTTAACCTGCTCTCCTGAGAATCACTGTAGTGTGAACAGATGTCAACATGGGAAGTGTGCTCCGTTATCTCTGGATCAGGGGTGACGTCGCAGCTTCTTGGTATTGACACGCCAACGTGATATCCTGGTATCTGAATTGCTTTTAGTATCAATCGTTAAGCTCACCATATCTGTCCATACAAGTGGGAAATAACATAGGCTGCTGTGTGCTTAAAACCTATATTTGAGTACAGACTTGGGTAGTTTTCGAATGCTTGGTATTTTGAATCCTATTCAGTATACTTTTGGCTGGTATTCAAATACTGTTCGAATACATTTGTGTGTTTCGTATTTGGTATTCGACTGAATACTTTTTTGGTTAGTACTCGGTATTCTCGAATCTGAATACCGTTCCTGAATCCCAATGTTGTATTGGAATCCTGTTTGGGAATACTTTTTGGCTATTCTGATGAATCTTGCGGTATGCTTTACACAACATAAGCGTGTCAAATCACGTTCGTGGTGGTTGTGGATGCCACAAACAAAATATCTACGCAAAATTATTTTGTTTGTGCGAACGGTGGTGCTTGTGAATTCGTCATGCAGACAGATCGCTTAAGGAACAAGATAAAATTCTCTTGTGCTTGTGTGTAGTATTTCCATTCTGTTTTATAATCAAAAGCTAATACCTGTTATAATTTATGTGTGATGCCAGATAACACCTCATTTTAGAGCAAATATGTTGCAGAAAGTAAATTTGCATTCCACACAAAATTAAGCCAGCATTTTGGTATTCAGGCAACAACAATAGAGAGCTTTTATGGTTGAACGGTCTTTCTTTTACCAAAAGCTTATACCACTACTTTGCTAGTTGGGAGGTCTTAAGAGTTATCGTTTAGCCCCAAACCGCGGATGAACACAATGCACTGTGCGTCGGGCTCCAGGAGCCGAGGGACCCCACATCACAGTACCAAACCCCTCCCTCAAAGAATAGAGAAAAATTGTAATATTTTGAGAATCATGACGTCCTCTACCCCAACTCCTGCTCTCCAATTTGCGCCACCACCGACATAGTGCCTAAATGTCGCTCTGTGACGGAGCCGCTCCAGCCCTTAGGGAGCTCCAAAAAAGTTTTCCCCAGTGTACGTCATTTCTCTTTACCCCAAAATTGCAACCCCCCTAGAGCTCTAGAATGTTTGAGAGGATTTATTAATTTCTAGTAGAACGAGTCTAAGTATAACGAATGAATGAACTCTAAAAGAATTTTATCGAAGAAAATATATCATGGTTTATGGTTTTGTTTCTCCTTGCCTTTTGCTACTATAGAATGGGTTTGTCTAAGAGGTGACATACCGAAAATCTATAAATAACACAGTTCCACAAGATAAAAAGTGGTGTGTTCTTGCGGCCTCACTATCTTTTTCCCATGTACTTTACCATGCTGAACATGAATCTAAAATCAAAACTGAGGTTCGATTGACAAATAAGAAGGTAATTCAGACATTAAGATCACACATCCGAATATGCCAAAATTTTAAATTCTGATGTCTAAATTACCTGCATATTTGTCCATCACTCTCCAATTTTGACTTCAGATCCATGTTGAGAGGGAAAAAAGAGTGAGACCCCCACCACACACAATTATTTGTGAACCTGTGGATCGGTTTTATGTTTTTTTTTCTACGTTGCAGTGTTCATCGACCCTCAATTTTGACTACAAATTCGGGTTTTGCGTGAAAAAGCACATGAGAAAACATAGTCGGACCCCAAGCATATACTATTTTTAATTTTGTGGGCCCGTGTAATTAATACCTGTAAAAGTGAGCCTTCTATAAAAATAATGTTTTCTATGACAGGCAGTTAGGTAATTCCAGTACTAATTTTAATTTCTGAAACAGGCATCCATGAAAAACAAAATATTTTTGTTTGAAATAAGTCAGTACAATATAAAATAAGAGGCGGCATGGTATAAAGCTGGAAGGAATGATATGTTGAAGATAGACTTACCATAAACACACTCCCTAACAGATACACCCCCAAATTCATCTTGACGTCCTATACTCCAAATTCCAGCTGAATTTCTCCACTGCATGCACCACAATATAAATCTCAGTGCACCAAGTCCTTACTGTTCGCGCGTTTGGCGTCGCGCGTAAGTTTGGCTCTGTCGGTCGCGCGTGTGTCGTCGTTCTTGCGTTGCGGACGCACGCTGAATGATCGCCGCCGAGGATGGCGATACCGAAGAAGACGGTGGAGGATGGCCGTCCGGACATGGACGCCGACGCCGACGCTAGCGGCGGCAGCGTCGCGGAGGACGTCATGTAGCGGTTCGTCGTTGGTAGCGGTGTACGGCGATCGGCATAAATCGTCCCAGCAATTTGGGTGTTGTGAGGTAGTTTAAAGCTAGGGTGGAATCAATTTAAGGTGGACTTTGATTTATACGTAGAGATGCACTGCGTTAATATACAGGGTGTCCGCAAAGTTGGGGTTTTCCTTTACACGACGTGTAGATTTTGAAAACATAAGCAATTTTTCTTAGTACCATATACACCAGTGTCTTCAGGGAACCGAGATAAAGGGCTCTGCAACATCAAAAATATCTTAATACCGTCCTGTAGCCGCGACATCCCCGAGTGGTACTAGGACACTAGCTCAACCCGACGACAGAACTGGGTCGGGGTCAGTGTGTCAGGTCAGTATGCAACCTTCAACCGACGGTTACGGTCACGCGTGTAGAGGTAATCGCGTAGACGAGAATCCCTCAACAAGCACTAGAGACGTGGCTAGAGAAGTGCAAGTATCAAAAACTAAAGTGTGGCAAACGCTGCGTGAAGAGGGGCTGTATACGTTTCACGTCCAACGTGTACAAGCCCTTCAACCTGACGATTTTCCAGCAAGAGCGCGGTTTTGTGAGTGGTTGTTGCATCAACATGACAATAATCTGGACTTTTTGAAGTGCATATTGGTGACAGACGAATCTACGTTCACGCGTAATGGGGTGTATAACTTTCGCAACACTCATGTTTGGTCAGTAGAAAATCGGCACGCTGTCCGTCGGGCACATTTTCAACAAACATTTTCGGTGAATGTTTGGGCTGGCATGGTGAACGGTATGCTCATTGGACCATTTATTCTCCCAAATCGATTCGACGGGATGCAATATCTAGACTTTTTACGCAACATTTTGCCTTCCTTGTTTGCCTGCGTCTGCTCGGTAGCGCATCAGCTGATTTCATTTTCTGTTGGAGCGGTATGATTTCGGGCAGAGACGTACTTAGCCCTTCTCGTCAACTGGAGAGTGAGTACTTTTTCCTTTATTTTTTTTTACTTGGTCGCCCTCGTTTCACTACACATTACCTTTGCTATTTCAAGGGTAGTTGTTTCTGAAGAGGAAAACCCCAACTTTGCGGACACCCTGTATATGTCAGTATCTATATACGTATATAAGTAATGGAATAATATCTAAGTCTAGATAAACTTGTATCTATAAGAAGATACTAATGTGCTTACTATATAAAAAGAATCTCATTTATCAACAACATGTTTTTTAAAGCTCACCTTTGATGGCTAGGAGTTTTTTGTTTCGTGAAAGGAAAGCTGTCCTGTCGGCGTTGCAATAAATGTTCATACGGTATTTGGATGTTCGCTCCTTAGCTCACAACATAGCTTATTTTATTTTCATATTTATTATGTTTCAAGGCTATGTCATATATCATACATTTTGGCAGGGTCACATAGTATTTTGACTATGTGTAGTCAGTGGGTGACAACTATGAAAAATATACTTTGAACATGATATAAATGTCGTTAGCTAAATCCAGTTCGATCGGTCTTAAAACAAGAGAATCGTGTAGATCAGCAGCTCATAGAACCTCAGATCAACGGTCGTGTTTGGTGACTAGATTTTTTTTGATAGCGGGCCGCAGTCATTGCTTTCATTGTTTACAATATTTTTTATTGTAAAGAAATGAGAAAAAGTAGAAAGTAGAAAAAGAAAAAGAGTATAAAAAGCAACTGAAGCAGTCAGCAATTGAAAACTGCCAGAGAAGTGACGCCAGTGCAGTGACAAAAACGTGCATGACTTCAAAGAAATTGAGATACATTGATTATTATTTTATTGTATGTGGTTCATGACGTTAATATCTACGAATCGTTACTTTTTACATAGTAGTTGCAGTAATATAGCATTAAAATTCACAAAGATGTACTTAACAGGGTAAATACTGGAACCACTGGCAAAAACGATATCTGTTGACGCTATCCTGGTTTCAGTACTCCAGATCGTGATGGTTTCAAACTACCATTTCTTGATTTACTACGCATTGATCAAGGTCAAATCGCGAAATTGTCACATTTACGCGAAAATATGCAATTGTAATTACTCTAGATGATGGTAACAACAATTTTCAGGAGCCACTATAAGGTGCTTTTTTGTACGTTTTCACAAACTTTTAGTGTCTCTTCTCAACAAAATATGTTCTAATATGTATGTAGCAATACAAAGAGTATTCGTAAATTGTTATATTAGCTACATGGACAGAGTTGTTGATATTTTTAGTGAAAGAAGGGAATGCAGCATGCCTGAGGAGACATTTTATTAATTTCCAAACCTAGGTATTAGTGGTTACCTTGATTTCATCATATATGTTCTAAATAAGGCATGCTATTTTACACTACAGGGATGGATTATTTCCACAATTTGTCGGTTTGCTTGTCGAGTAACTTACTTAGCAGCACCCGCTTCACTTTCGGTTGAATGTCAACCCATTTTCCCTCCCTTAAATGCCTGGCAAAATTGTCAGCAGTAAGCCCCTCACTACACTCAAGTAGATGATCAGGAGTATCCTACTCGTCATAGCAATATACGTATTTCGAGTACTCTCTCTCTTTTCTACCATCTTCCGGTAGCTGTCAAGACAACTATGTCATCTGAGGAACTGTGCAATATAGTAATCTGTCCATACCGCTCCCTTGTCATTCCAGGTCTTAATGCTTGGAACCAGTCGGTGCATGATCAGTTGGCTTCCACCTAGCCTTCCTTCTAACAAAGAGCGCCTTTGTTTTCGCTGGGTTTGGCTCCAGCATCCTTCTTATAAAGAGCACATCTTTCTTCAGACAGCAACAGCACATCTTCCTCAGAGCCATGCCATAGATGGGAGCTTCATATGGCATACACTAATTTACCACCCCAGCCCAGACTCAAGGTTAGGATTGGTAGGCTGCTTCGTAAATCACCCTCCTCTTTTAACCTCAACTCACCTCAACACCCCACTATTGACAATTTAGAACGGCAAGTTATATTTATTGGACAGAAGAAAATAACACAGAGATTCGTATAAGCTCATGTTCTAAAGGTACCCTTTCGAGTTGCAGGATGGTCAAGTTATAATATCAAAATGTATAACATACTCTCCAAAGTAAATAAGTGTAAGGACTATACATTTTGTTCAAGCCGTACCAACAGCAAAAGCAATACAACGGTTTCTGCACTTCTATCTGCACCAGTGACGTAGATACTGATACATTTTGAACCCTAAAGAGGCAAAGTTAAAAATATTTTCTCCGCCACTGGCTTTTCTGAAACGTCTATTGCATTTTTTGACAAGATATCTCATTTGACATGAATAGTTTTTCCTGAAAAATTTTTCTTATGCCTTATATAAATTATAAAACTTATGTCCGCTGAACTTCTGAAGTATATTGGTGCTGATAATAAAAAATATATGGAGAATTTTAGTAAATTAATCCCATTCAATCAGTATAAGAAATTTTCAATACACTGTATCTCGGTAATGAGACATTTTTGGATATAGATTCTGCTCTAGAAACCTTTCGATTTTTTCATTCATCCTGAGCACCACTGACAGCATCGTGCTACACCGATAGTTGGTAAAGATGTCTTAAGTAGAGGTAAAACTTCTGTCCGACCCAGGTAGGGTGTGCAGATCAATGTGTTTGACGGTTTTTCCTCTTCATGTACTAGAACTTTGCTAGGACCCGGTTTGTGATCGAACCATGTTCCTATTCAGTATAAAGAATTTCTGTTATCTTAAATTCGATATCTGTGTAGACGCGGAAAGTGATCTGTAAGGCTGGGACTGGATGACGGTATACCCTCTTTCACGAGTCTCCATCACGGTAGAATGACTGCTGGTTATCTAGTAATATTTCAAGATTCCCCATATAGGCAAAGGATACATAATTCTAACGGATCCGCCATGTAGACAGAGTCACATTTTGATTTGGTTTTTTGTACACTACAGATTCATTTTGTACTTGCTAAAAACTCTTTTATTTAGTAAAAGTTCATTTCTATACAAAAAACAAAACGCTACAAACAAATTTTGACTAGATTTGCACCCCATTCAACGTTGCAGACTAACACAAAAATGTCACTTCATGATCAGCTGTTCACCTCATTAGACGTCAAAGCGTGATAGTCACTCGTGAAATAGGGTAAGTATAGTTAGGGTGGGGATCATGTCTAAGGTTATAAGCAGTTCATGTATATAGACGTGAAACCATAATGAAATCATGAAAAATGGTTTGTCTTTCTATAGAATATGCATCAAGTTTGACCTCCAACAAATTAAACGCCGCCCAACGGGACGAAAATTTGGACGTCGTAAGAAATCTTGCAGCAGTTTTCCCATTGTCACGAGCATAGGAGGTTACTATTACCTAGGAGCATAAATGCATTGTTCAGTTAAGAGTCAGTATTACATACTTTGCGAAACAACCAACGATACGAGGAGCAATCCGGCCAATCGATTAATTCTTCAGCACACCCCCATGGTCCTCCTTGATCAATTGATTCATCACATTATGCTTTTCTACCCATAAGCAAAAAATATTTTTTCTTTGAGCCCTCTTCCGTGAAAATGTCACTTCCAGAAGCAGCCAGATCGACTCATTTCAAATATTAGACGTTTGGTTTCAATTCTGTTCTAATCTGGGACACTGTACATGTTTACGCCTTAGGTAGCCTACCACGTGATCTTGCATTAACACTGCACCGTTCCAAGAGATGACGCGAGCACCAGTCCATTTAAACTGCGCGCTAGGCCAAACCTGAACAATCTTACCGCGATCACTAGAGTTGATCTATTCTATGCCCTTGTATAGCATATAGTGCACGGTGTAAATGAACTAATGTTGCGCCATCTCCTAGCACACGGAATAGCATAGCCTTGAGGTTAGCTACCTGCGGTATAAACATGGCCATTAGTCGCCAAGAACGAAGTGCATAGTGGTGGGGGCTAGGTCGATCACTTGCCGTGTACAAGAAAAGAAACATCAAATATGTGTCATGTGGAGTCAA